ATTTTCAATTTCTGTTACCAACAAAAAGCTAATCTCACATATAAATAGGTTCTGCAAATAAACAGACCACAAACCCATTAGAAAATAGGACAAAGAATTGGATGTCAGCTCAGAAAAGGAAATACAGATGACTCTTAAACATGTACTGAGTATCTGTCTTATTAAGAAAAACGTCCTATCTAAGAAATCTTGGATTCTGGAAGAAACAAGAGTGTGGTGTGAGCATGGGGAAGCAAAAGAAAACAAAGAAGTATGAGACCATGAAGCAAATGCCTAGTCTTAGATCAGAGGCTTAAAGAAAAGGATAGATTAAAACCTAAAAATAAAGAAAGATCCCAGCACACTGAAGGCAAGAGAATTCCCCCAACACCCTTCCTGCTTATTCTTCCCATATAACACACAGCTGAGCCCACCTTACCACATCTTGGTTGATACCAACTTTATCAACTTTTCCATTAAAGTCAAACTGGACTTAGTACAATGATGGACTGTCTATATGCCAAGTGTATTCCTTGTATAGTGGCTGAAACTGAGAAATTGGGGCAGAAATATTGAGTGGCCCTCAGGATTGCCAAGGATCCAAAATTTGAACGATTACCACACACACACACACACACACACACACACACACAAAGGAACCTATGCAGATGACTGCTTAGCACAGAGAGTAACTCAGCACAAGTGTTACATTGCGGCCACAGTTGACCAAGACCTTAAACGAAGAATCTGGAAAATCCCTGGAGTTCCTATCAATCATGTCATTTCTAACCATAGATACAATATGGAACAGATGTCTGATGATTATGGAGCCCCTCAGTTCTAATTATTACAAGACAGTGTTCCTCTTCCTTTCTTCAGCCAACTTTCTCTGTTAGCAGTTTGTTAAACATGCAGTACAATGAATTATTATTCTGTTCACCCATTTGCTCTATTAGCTGAATATGGTTAAATACATCCACTTTTGGATGCTATTTTGAAAATGATATTTTTGTCTCATTTAAAATTTTAAATGATAGTCAAAGGGTACAAAATCTCAGGAAGGATATTTTATTTTTTTGAGTTCTGTTGCACAATGTGGTAAATATAGTTAAGACATTTCAAATGTTCTTACCACAAAAATGTTGAGGTGATGGATATGTTAACCAGTTTGATTTAATTATTCCACCTT